CGCGAATTTATATTATTTTCAATATTATTATTGAACTAAACTTTCGTAGAACGCGAGTGAAACATTGAAAGAATCAAAAGAAAAAACGCGAATTCATATCTTTCTCGATTCTAGAGTATAAGAAAATTTGAATAAAATACGCGACGAGAATTGGGGAGAAGCATAAGTTAAACGCGTAAAAATATTCAATAATAAACGAACTAGGGATGAAGCTATTATTTCAATACGCGATGCACTGACTCTAGTATTTACTAAAATTCAAAAATTCTCGTATAAATTCCGAAAATAGATTATTAATTACGGTAAACTACTGAGACGGTTTAATTTAGGGTGGGCATAGTGCACTCGTTCCAAATCAGCTCACAATATACAATAATAAATCAACTAACTACTCAGCATGCAAATCATGCAAATTCGTTGGATGGTAAATTATTAGTAAACAAAATTCAATATCAGAGAAAATATCTGAAAAATTTCAAATTAATTTGAATTGCTGGAAGAAAAGTAACGAAAAGGCAACCTCTCAAAGTCATTTCAATATCCTATTCGACAAGTCTGAAGAAGAACGATGACTAAAATTCAAATGTTTATTTCCCTAAACCTTCAACATAATTTCGAAATATTTTATTCGAAGCGGAGTATTCCAAGTCAGTATCGATAATTGAAGAAATTATTTGATTGTATTTAAAAGAACCGAAAGGAGAATATTTAAAGTCTGATATTAAATGTCTAGCAAGTACCAGTAATTGGTAAAATGATTTATATTTGTTTTAAAAGGAAAATTTCTAATAGGTATTAGTTAAAATGAATTGTTATTCAGTCTATTGTATTGAAATTCTAATTGATTCTAATGTATACAAGTGTTACAAGAAGGCTGAGTGTGTACAGGGTGGACATAGGCTAGCTAGTAGCCCCCGACCACTCTATTCACATCTCAGAACCTTCAGGTCAAAATACGCCGCGAAGTGTCTATGGCCCAGTATAAAGGGTGAATAAATTCGCGGGACATCGGGGGGTCCTTATATGCCTGCGGTACCCTCTCCCCAAAGTCATTAGCAAAATCGTCGGTTAGGTCAGGCGGGAAATTTTCGCGGGAGATTTTCGCGGGAGATTTCCGATATCGTAACACGGTATAATTTATCAATTTTCACAATTTTGTTATAAATTTATACTTCCGACAATTTGTTATAACATTGCATATAACAATTTATACGTTTTTACAATATTCTTCAATGGAAACATAGGTTTTAGCGTTCTCGTTACTTACTCGTGGTTAAATTAATTTCGTAGGGATTAAAAATCAGGTTGACCTGTGGTCGTAGATTAAAAGTAGCCATAGTACAGCTAAAATTATCGTGTTAAATAATTCTTTTCCTACGAATCAAAAATGTATTCAACGTTTGTTTGTTATAATATCGTGAAATGAATTATATTACACATTTTCTCTATTCACACTGAATTTAAAGATTATAACGATTAAAAATCA